ACATTTATATACATGTTTAAGCCAGAATGATTTGACATTTAAATATGACTTCCCTACGACTTTAATGTTGGCCACAAAAGAAAGTTTTTAACAGCAGATAAAAACGTATTTTAGAAGTAATTGTTCGTGTTCAAATTTAAATGTGCCTCGCTTTTCTCAATATAAACAGTGAAGCTAATGTTAGCTTAGTATATATGAAGTTCTCAATTTCACAATTTCATATGTATATGTCTTGACTATATATATCATATATAAATTGACTCACATTTGACTTCCCTACGACTTTAATGTTAAATGTGGAACTTTGTGTGAGCTATGCTAACATTAGCTTCACTGTTTTTATTGAGGAAAATTAGGCAATTGAGGAAAATTAGGCTTAAATGAGCACTCATTTACATCTTCAATCCAGTAACTACAGCCCCAAAGTGACAAAACATGACATGAGGGTTCAGAAACAGATCTGCAGGAAACAGGAGAGAGGCCATGGGTGTGTAGAAAGTCAACCAGTGCATAGAAGGAGTGTGCACACTGTGGTGTCATGGTACTGAATCAACATGCTTAAAAAGTACAAATGAATGCTTGTGGAGAGTAGTTTACTAGTGTGTTTATCTTAGAGAAAAAAACTGCTTGTGTGAGTATTTAATGCATACATGCACTTTTGGTAGAATTCTGACTTTAGATTAGACTCCGGATGTTTTATGGCATTAATATCCTCCTTTCATAAGAAAAAAAATGCTGGAAAGAGTACAGCTAATCTCCCCAACCAGATTCCTGTTTTGTTTAGCTTTATAGATTTCTTACCTCATTGCACACAGCACATTATTTAAAAACCATCCTACTTCATTACCACATCTCATTACAAACAATGCATTTTACAGCGAAAATGTCTCCAAATTATCTCTGAATGCCACGCAGCAATTATAGCATGAAAAACAAGGACGGCAAAAATTGCTGCTCTTTTATTTGGGAAAGCAACAATATCCAAAGCTGTGTGGTGCTGATATGAATTTCCAGTTCAGTAGCTGTGACAGTCGTCAATGTGACAGCAATGACAATCATGCTATTTGTCAGCACACTCAAAACATTGTTGCAGCATAAAAACATTGTGATTAGGTCTGAGCAAAGCTGAGCTTTTTTTTCTGGTGAATGAATGAGATGCACTTTAACTTCCATTTTAGTAAATATTACATTTGTTGATAATGTTATTGCAGTAGTCTATTCTTATTTGAATACAAAAATCTATCTTTTATTGTTAACTGAGTAAAAAAATAGCTTTAATTTCTTATCTTTTGCTTAATCTTTGTATAACCCCACTTTGCCAATGTCCAGGAACCTTTCTCCTAAAACAGTTAAAGTCATAGGGAAGCGGCTGTTCCAACCGTTGCATTTACGAATTCTCCCGAGTGGTGCACGACTTTACACGAGTGAATGTGATTGGTCGTTTATCAAGAGGGCGGGATTGTTGTGGTGGAAGGTTCGCAAGCAAGTTTTGTTGTGGCCGGTCTGTCTTAAGTATCTTGCTAACCAGTTAGCAACTTAGTGCTAGTAGGTTCCCAATGGGAAATTACATTGGGACCAAGTGGCACTATACTGGTGACTTAGGTCCCCATCCACACGAAGTCAAAACGAACATGAAACGCTAATATTTTCCAGAACGTTTGTCGTAAAGACAGAGACGTAAAATAAATGTGATCGTCCACACGAATGCATGAAAACGCTGCAAAATGTATGCCAGGCCTGTAAGTGGCGCTGTGGTGCCAAAGCAAAAATATGCGAAAACAGGCAACGAAATGTTGGGCATGCGCAGTAATATTTATTCAACAACCAAACCGGAAAACCGGAAAATGGCCCTGCGGGTCCATTTTCGTGGTTTAGTCAAATTGAGGTGATGAACTATGTCGTCGATATTGCTCTGTTCTTCCTGGAGATATTCCAGAAGAAGAAGATTCTGTTGTAAGCCCGACAGCAGGGTGAGTAGCATTAGCAGCAACGGTGCCATTGTTGTTGTGATACTGTGTAGCGCATCGTGTTTAGAGGCGACGCTATGACGCATGCGTGTAAGAAAAAAAAATGCGGTTAGAGCTTAAAGATGGAAACGCGAAAACGGCGTTTCAAAATCTTCCCACTCTGAAGGCTTAATAAAAAAAAGATCGTTTACAGACCCCCGAAACGCCGGCTTCGTATGGATGAGAGGCTGGTTTGGTGAAAAATTTGTGCGTTTAGGCCAGGGTTTGACTTCGTGTGGACGGGGCCTTAGAGAGCTCTCCTCACAAAGCATTATGGAATTTGCTGTCACAGTGGCCATAGGCCATAGGTTGAGCCATAGGTTGTCGCTAAACAACAGAGGCAACTAATAACAAAGATGGCACCGTTATCATCGATCATCAGTGATGATTTGTCCGAACGGTTAGTTAACTGAGTTTGCTATAAAATCCTCTATATAGTCCCGCCGTATGAGGATACAGTAAGCTTGTGTGAACATGAGAACAGCACATTTTTAACAGGACGTGCATGAGGAGAAATTAGCTTGTGCATGCTCTTTCACACGCACTGTAACTCCTTGTATATATTTTTAATGTTATTTAAAACAGATTTTTCTGACTTCTAGGACATTGATGTATAGATCTAAAGTGTTTGCTTACCAACAATGTCAGAGGGTCTGATGGTCTCCTTCAAGAAAACCACAGATATAACCGCACTAGCTGGGAAAAAAACCAAAACAAAAGAAATGCATATAGTTAGATTGCACAGCATTTATGACATAAAAAGATTCTTTAAAAGAATAACTTCACTAATCACCTAACTTTTTAAAACTACAGCATATAATGAACAGGACATTGACATAAATCCCTTTCAGAGATTCACATACTTGTATTGATCCCAAAACATGACTATTATAGTTTGCTCAGATAAATGGATCAGATTAGAAGTCTATAACACCAGAGTGAAAATACGCTGTTATATCTCACACAGCATTTTTCCTAAAACCTTGCATCAATATCAGTGTCAGAAACTGAGATGGTGAAAAGCAATCAGCTTCACATGAGCTAAGCCTAAGATTAGTCTTGCTAATGTTTCCCCCAGACATGCATCAAACCGAGGGAGACGAATGGACTCAGTGTTTAGCTATCACAGAGACGAATAGTGAGACAGACAGATGTGCGTGCAGACACACTGACATGGTGGAAAGACAGACGGACAGACAAACTGACTGAGACAGAAAAACAAGCGGCGGGACGAATGTGAGAGCGGCCAGGGAGACATGAAGATATGCGACAGCAGCCAGTGAGGAGGTCGCTTTATATCAGGCTCAGTGTTGAGGTTTTAATACTTAACAGGCAGAACACATAAACAGATTTTTTTATGAGGGAGGGTTTCTTCATTTGCAGGATTTGAAGTTTGTCTGCTGAGTATGTGTACGGCGGAGATTCAATAAAATATAGTGTCAATCACACAGTGTGATGAATGTCTGTTCTAAGCAGCTCTCTGTCCTTTTTTATTGGTAGTTCCCACAAGGCTCTAAAGGGAAGGAGGTGACTCAGACAGGCTCCATGTTGGTAGAAGACTGGTAGATACCAATGTGCAGGAACAGCATTTAGAGCCGCATTACTGAGGCTCTATATTAGCTTATCTTTTATTTGATCTACGGCTTAGTTGAGTGCTGGAGCTAGTAGTTGAGTGCTGTTACAGGGTAAGTTTAGATCAGCGGTAACCAATTAAATTTAAATTAAATCAGCAGGGTCAGAATAAAGAAAATCATCAAACACTAAAGGTCCGGAGACATTTTTCATTATAATCCGTTACTTTGAATATAATTTAACACTGAAATAGAATGAGGTGTTTATGCATCCATGTCATTGACTTATAATAATAAAAAAATAAATACAATTTTGTTTTAGATTTTAAAATCGAAACTGTTTTTTTTAAAGTAGAAAACAACAATTATTCAGTTTGGTATATTGACTTTTTCCTGTTTCATATATTTTATAAAACACCTGAACTGACCGTTTGTTATTTTTTTCTTTCTTTTTTATGGCTTAATGAGAGCAGTGGGCTTTAGGCTGAACTGCAAGGCTTTAAACCTGGGTTTAAATGGTGATAAAGCCATTCTCAAGCACATATCAAGGTGCTCATTCGTGAGCCTGGATCGTAGCCTAGTAAACTAGCCCCACTCGCCAGCGGCCAAAATAATTTTTGCCTGCGAGTGGTGTAGCCTCGATCAATGCCCCAGGCCCTAGAATCACAACGCAGAGATGCGTTTTGAATTTTTGGATGCATAGCGGGCGGGGTTTTGAGGGCGGGACGACAAAGCTGCGTGACGCTGGAGAAAGCACAACAAGGAAGATGGCAACAACTATTGAACAGTTCTCGTTTGACTCAGCTCTGGAATCAGTTTGGAAGGATTAGATTTGGGGTTTTCGTCGAAACGTGAGCAGGAAGAGGCTCTACGCTCATTCATGTTTGAGAAGGACGTAGTCGCCATTTTACCGACAGGCTGTTTGTTTACACTCCCCCACCAGCTTTCTGTCACGCTTACTAAGTCACATTCAGTTGCGCTCATTGGTCAGAGCGTTGGCCAATAGGCACAGACATGGTTTGAAAGACAACGGGTTGTTCTCATCAACAATCTTCCAATGTCTCATTCATCGGGGCCAGACTAAATTACACATTTAATTTCACATTTAGTCTGGTTTATCAGGCTACCTGGATCCATATTTATTTTTGATTCTGTTCATGGTGGAGAATCCTGCTTAACAGCAGCTGGTTGAGCGAAACATACTCTAAATGTGCAGGGTCATCTTTGAGCACCATTTCACTTTTCTTGCACCAGTTCACCACAGTTCTTCCAGCAGTTCACACCTTCTTTTTCTTTTTCTCATCATCTTCTCCTTCTTTCCCATCGCCCGGCTTGCCACAGGTTTGCCTGCTGTGTCTAAAAGTAGCAGCAGCAGCAACCCTGACTGACAGCAGCTCATTGGCTACTTTATATCATGTGCAGCCTGGTGCCGGACGCTCCGGAGGGCTTTACCGTACAAACAGGAGAATGGCCGGCAAGTGAAATTGGACCCTGTTTTCGGACAACATGTGGTAATTTATAAATGTTTTAAATCAGTGACTCCCGCCTCCTCCAGAGGCTGTGGCTGGATTATAGTTGCTTCCAGCACTATTCCTCTCTGTTCAGGATCCAGTAGCAGGAACTTATGCCTGCGCTGAGAAAGAGGCTGTCCTCTGCTGACTTTTCAAAAGTAAAAACCTTTGTCTCTGCTGCGCTCCTTTGAGGTTCTAAATAGTTAACACCATGCAAACTGACAAAAAAGTTCTGATATTTTAAATCGAGCAAAGTTTTACTTTATCCATTTTGTGTTTCATGCTTATTCTTAGATTCTATTTGGTATGTCCCCCAAATTTCCTCTATTTGCATCGCTGATCATTAATTGGCTCCTTATCAATCCTTTACATAGGACTAACATGTTGCTCCCTTCGTATTGTTTGCGTTTGGAGTGAACAGAGCCTTAAGACTGGCTCAGTTTTAACCTCTAACAATCACAATGAGACGCTGATCTAAACACTGTTGAGAACAGAGTCAGCTGGGGCAGCTCTGCATGTCAGGAGATGTCAGAAAAATACCAGCGAGGCAAAGTGGAGAGCAGCTGGTGACACACGGAGGCAGGCTAAAAAACTATTGCTTGAAAATAGTGAAAAATGGATGGGCAGGCTGTTTGGAAACAAGCTTGCTAGACAGCAGAAGGAGATTAGATACAAAAACACAAGCAGCTCGCTGTCAGACACTCAGTGTGGCACAAGGAGGATGAGCCCAGAAAAACAAAAAGGTTCCTAACAAAGATACAAACTTCCTTATAATCGAATATTATTTACTGAAAACAACCTTAAATAAACTATACATCCAAGACACACCAGCTACATTAAAAACAAAAACACTTTTTGTCCCCTTCGTGATTATATAGAGAATTTGATCAGATTTTATTGCACATTTCTTTTGACATGATGCAGAAAAATCGAACATCTCCTCCAAATAAAGCTGCTGGCTCTGTTCAGTCAAACTGGAAGTTTAAAACCTCTCTCATGAAACAGGGAGTTGGTGAATATTTCACACTCTGAGCATGTTTACACACACATTTAGGACTGTTCCTTTTGCCTCTGGGACCAGCTGGATCTAACAAGTAACCATGGCAACCCATGGAAAAGTGAGATTCACACAGCTTGATAAAATGAGAAACGTGGCCAAGGGAACCTCTGGGGGATGCAGTTGTGGCACCGCTGCTGTACGTGTGTGCATCACATCAGTACATTGTCTTTCAGATGTGTAGTAATGGGGAACGTCCCAGTGGGAAAACACACTGTGTCTGACATCCTTACACTGTAAGAAACAGACTCATGAACAGATGAGTCACTATGTCTGGCTGTCATTTTCAAAACAGGGTGAAATCTGATAAACCGTTGACCTTTAATACGCCATGTGCTTTTGTTCTCCAAGGAAAACAAAGATTGGGTCACAAAAACGAGCGATAGATTTAAGGCGGTAAAGCTGAAGCTTTAAATGCAACTTTTGTAGACCACTGTAGTTTTTAGATAGCCTTATATAATCCGATTCAGATTTTAATATAATTAATACACTAGCAAAGTTGTACTCCACCTATGCCTATGAAAACCTCATTTACTGAAAAATAATAATGCCTCTGTGTTATACATTCTGAAAGGCCTTGCATAAAAAAAAATACTGCAAGCGGAAAGAGGGTTGTGGCTAAAGGAAGCGAGGTAGGAGGGCAAAATAGGTTTAGCGCCACCGCAGCACGGGAGGGAGAATTACGCCCAGGAGCAAATGGATAAAAATAGACCGGAGGAAAAAAATAAAATAAAACGATACTCTTGCAGACGTGTCGATGCATTGGATCGTCGGCTGTTGGATCGATGCATCGATACAAAACAATTATTATTTACACCCCTACTCCGCAGCCAGACAGGAAGCTTGTTCTACTGGATTTCATGTATTTTTAGCTTTTATTGACATCTAGGTGAAGAAGCTGTTGTTTTTGAAAACATTCATTTGCATACTGTTTCTCTCTTCTATTTTTTTTTTTTTTATTATTTTTATTATTGTTCTGTTTTAAGATGCTTGAGTTGTAAAGTTCATACCTACCAGGTTTAGATTTACCCTCTGCTCACCGCACTCTACAATTACACATCTGTGCTGTCTAAATGAATCAGTGCACATTAAATGATCAGAAATAAAGTTCCTTTGTTACTGGTTTAGTCACTAATTTTAAATCAACTCTTGCAAACAGATCTGAAGCTGAACAGTTTTTTGTCCTTTTAGTTGTTTTGGCCTGACTCGTGCATTTATCACATGCTTCTATTGTGAAATTGCATGGCTTCTTGGAACACCTGTGGCCTTCACAGCAGGGCAGATTACAGCAGTCGAATGTTAAGTAAGACTGGAGAAAGCGACATGAAATTGTCTGAGTGAACCTCAAAGCCCACACACTTGTGGACTGGAAAAAATTGATTGTTTACTGCTTCAACTGTGTCGCTCTCACCTCTGAGACATAATTTTTTATTTGAACCAATGACATCATCCTCCAGCTAGCACCAAATTGGACAAAAAAAAACTTTTTGGCGCTACCTTTTTGCAGCAACAAAAACAAAAACTTCAACCTCATGAATCTAAACAAAAGTAAGACTA